AGCGCTCGCGACTTGCCTTTCCCTGTCATCTCGCACAATTCAGCAAATAGTGACCCCATAACTTCCACGTGACGCACCTGAAATACCGTTCGACCAATTCGCGATATCAGCTCTGTCATTGATTTATTCTTCGACTTAGTTTTATTATTAACGATTCCACAAGCAGCTTTAGTTGCAGCATTCGTCATGTGTGGAATGCACCATTCCCATTGAAGTTATAAACCTTCCGTTAGCATCCACTTCATGTCGGCTCCGGCGTCACTCGTGCCTCCACAAACGCTGTTGATTGAAAGACCAAAATCAAAAAGAATCTGATCTATCCACCGTTTGAATGGCCCACGAATGCCACCATTGCGCTCACCATACGAAGGGCAAAAGTGTCGTGTTCCAAGCAGAAACGACCGGAAGCGCCACTGGTTATCGATGAAATAAATCCGCAATCCAAGATATTTTTCTCCTTGTGTTTTTGAGGACCACATATCCACTACAAGAGTTAGACACTTGATGTTTGGCAAGATATTTTCGAGGATGAATTTCATCATCTCACTCTTGGCGGACGCATACAGCTCAACAATTGCGTGTGTCACCGCTTGGGCGCTGATGGTCGTGCGATAACGCTCATCAGTGACAAGCTCATTCAGTAATCTCGACTCTTCGTACTTTCCCAGTCTGAACGGTAAGTTATTGAACACAATGCGCATGCTTTCCAGAAGAAGGCACACTCGGGCAGCATCATGTGTTGTGACAACAGCCTGGCGAAGCCTGTCAACCTCGTCGTCCCGAGTTCGCTTGCGTGCTGATTGAAGTACCGTTTTATCGGAATTAATGCAGTGAACTTCTTTTAGATGTTTTGTAGCTTTCGACGTCTTACCGTAAAGCTGTATAATTTGATGGTGTTCGCGACAGCTTTCACTTCCGAGACAAAATCCATCCCGTGCACGCTTTCCCATCGAGCTCGGCTGCCACTCTAACGCCCCACTGAAAAATTATTGACCGCTCTCCAGCCTTTGGGGGGACCAATGTGAACCCAGGTAATGGTTGGAAGCTCTTTATTGCGTCTTGTACGGCAACAGGGACACTGGTTTGGTTTGGGTTTACTGCGGGGGGGGGCTGACGAAGCATCTCCACTGGCCAACTAAGATCTCGAGATGCATCGCCTAGTACAGGAGTGCTTTCCGGCTCTTGAAAGTTGTCTTCACCTTGGTCGACATGCCCGGGAGGAGGGCGAAAATAACGACGAGGACTGTTGGGTGGACCGGTGTGCCTGTGATTCATCCACGCTACGATGCTGGGCTGGTAAATGATGAGAGACTGTCATTATTCCGAATGATGGCGGTGTTGCAGGTGGGGTAGTTGATTCCGGCTGAAGCAGTCGGCGACGGCTCTGGACATGCTCACTGTCACTATCAGTACGAGTGAACCAGGATCTCATGCAGATGAATCACTAATAAAAGGCCTTGTCCTTGGCAGGGTGTTAGCGTCAGGAGCAGTTTGAAAAGTGAAATGAAATCTCCAGTGTCAAATCAAATTTGAGAATTACTTCTTATCAGCAAGGGAAACAGCTGTAGGCATATGTTGAAACAGCAAAGCGTGTCGTACGTCGGCTTTCCACCTACGGTCGCACGTTGGCGTCATTTTGAGTAGTGCGGCTTTCCCAGAAGGCAGTCTCTAGCAGCGGTTACTTATTTCTGTCCAATAAAAAAGCGAAATTCGTCCAGGAAAGTACTGTCAGAAATGAAACTGTGAGCCTGAGATCATCCGTTTCACTTTTGGGTTCACATAAAATTATGAAACGAAGGTAGCTACCGTCTTACCCCGCATATAAGGCATATGTGTTCTAAATAAATACGGGATTCGCTCGACATCTAGCTTAAACCTCAATTTGACTACCTATCTAATTAGAACACATGTGTAAAACACAAGGCTGTACCAGCCAATGAATATTCTTGAGAGCTCCCAGCCAACCACCCTTCTGAACAAACTTGTCGGTGCTGCTGTTACTTGGCTTTAATTCTCTTATTTTAAAATTTACACAGCCATATGTGCTGAGCGACGTAGCTATAGTATCCACGAGAAACTCGCTGTTCTAGCAGACTACCGGATAGGCGTGAAAGGTCACGGCTTTGCTGCTCTTAGCAAGAAGCACAGCGTGCCCACGCCGATCGCGTAGGAGGGTCAAGCCTAAACGACCAAGCCATATTCCAGGACCCATAGACTTGCTTCTTCAAAGTCAAACAATTTGTTCGTTGTACAACACATATGCTTTCTAAACGAATATAACACACAAGCAGCGTTGTATTCATTTACAGCACCTATGCCTTATATGCGGGGTAAGACTACCGGTAAGTTCATTTGAGGCGTGGTTGTTATTCTCCTACTTTTAAAAAATAGTGGAATTCCTCTATTTTTAGTGAGACTTGTTTGCTTTTTAAGTGCCAATTATAATTATTTTTGTGCTGTATTCCAAGCGCATCCAAAACAACTTTTAGTAGACAGGACGGCCCTTCGCAAAAAGTCCCAGCGACCATGGTGCTTAACCGAAGCTACTGCGGCCGGAACGCCCCGCGATGGCTGCCGCTGTTGCTCGACATTGTTTTGGCGACCCTATCCTTGCTGCTGGACGTGCGCGATCTGTGGTTCAAGCTGCAATGGATTGGTCCCCTCGACACCTTTTCGTTCTCGACAGTATATATAAAATCTCTGCCTGCGTCGAACGCTGTTCCATTGCAATCGACGGCGTCATTTTCGTATGCGAACCAAAAGTTGCAGCGAGACTCAGGCTGGAGCTCTTTCCTGGAAAAATGTGAGTCGCTGTTGCCCTTACTAGAAGAAGACAACACGCGTGGATTTCGCCATGCAGTCGGAAAGAACTGCCAGATCGGGTCCAGCACCAGCACTGCTCGAGCCATTGAGGTTTTCCTCACAAGCAGTATCCGCGTTGATTCCATGACATGGGCAGCATGTGAGCTACTGTACAAACACCGCAAACCGCCCATCTGCTATTCCCCGATTGTCACCCAGTTTGCAAGCCGCTACAATTTCCAGGACAAGCTTGCGTCTAGGACAGCAGGGCTATCGGCATTTGAGTCCACGAGAAAGTTTCCAGGAGGATACAGTCGAGAGGTCTACGCTGAAATGCCTGGAAGTGATGCGGAGACAGAGCTGATTGAGCTGCTTGAAGTGATCAGCCAAAGCACGCCGATATCTGCGACGGTATGTGTGGAAGGATTCATCATCAAAGGACCAGGAATGTACTCTACGCTGATATATGGATGTGGAAGTCCCAGCTTCTATCGAAGCGTTCTGTTTGCAAGCTCTACCTCCAAGGCCTCACAGTTTCTGCGAGACAAGGCGTGGCTGACGTCGGACAGTCTGGGATTTATGGGAATGACTCTCTTCATACGTGAAAACCACCGCACTATATTCATACTGCACGGCGCAACTAAAAGCAACGGCGACAGGATACTGGAGCATCGATCAATGCGCAATATATCTGCATCTGGTTCTCTATACATTAGTATGATTATGGCAGATCTTGCTTTACTGGCATTTTCCATTCGCAGCGTGGTCGAGATCTCTCGATATATGATGTGGGCTTTGTGGAAGCCACTAGTCGCCTCCGAGTATCAGATTTCTTCCGCACAGACGACAAGAATGGGCTTTGGGGTCGAAGATTATACACGAGTGCTCCAAATTAGTTTACTTTGGAGTACTCCTATTGCTTTGCTCACAATTGTCTCCAGACTTCTGACGTGGGCGCTCGTGATTCCTTGTTTCCGTCAGTGGAGTGACGGAGCTAATATTGTTGGAGATACACACGCGCTATTGACGATGATTCGATTCTATGACCTAGTCGTTGTCTGTGTCAACATCATTTGGAATATGGTTACTGTTTACAACGAAAAGGTCGCCTTGGCGTTCGTTCGGCACACCTACATAAGCCCGCCGGAAATAATGACTATAAGTGTAGCTGTCGCTGTCGGTGGTGCTTCGTTGGGCGGATTACAGAGTTATGGCTCCATGCTGAATCGACAGAGCCAAATCGACTGCAGTCCCTTTGAAAATACTTTTGGAGTGCGCCAAAAATTGAATATGCCTCTCGACGTATATTATCCGCTGCTGGCAAACATAGGAGTCAGCGTGTTGGCTGTTGGTGTTTTTACAATTTCACGATTTCGAATTGGAAGATCGTCACCCCCTCGAAGCTTGGTATGTGCCCCCCCTCCCCTTGCAATTCAACCCTGTACAATCAGGAGGTCTCCTCTCGCTACTACCCGTGCTGATCTAACAAGTAGCAGCTCAGGAATTTTAGTGCAGGCGGTGCCATCGCCAAGTCCAACACAAGAGGCTGAAATAGATTCCGTCTCGTTACCTCCCTTGGTGGAATCAACATTTTTCAACATAATTAATGAAGACCGTCTTCCAATTGAGAAAATTGTAGATGATCCAATCCGTGCGCGTAGCTTCGTACGGCGTTCGTGGGCGCTAGAAAAGAAATTGGATGGTCAGCTGCTTTTGCTTCCTGCATCGTACCTCAAATACGGAATCCTCTCGGTTGGGAAGTCGATGAAAACACGGTGTGGGTTCGTGAATGTCGTGCAGCCCATTGTTCACGTGCAAGAGCACGAGAAACTCAATGATTCTGGGAACGAAACGCAACAAGTGACGACGATGAGTGATAAACCCAATTTGCGGTGAAGAAAAACGTCGATTATCCGATGATTGCCTTACTATGACATGTTATACACAGCAATTTGCTTAAGGTATACAGTACATGTATCTGCTGAGAGCACGAGCCACAACCGATGTTCAAAGCTGGAAGTGATAAGGACTTTCTTCGTCAGTGACGGGTAGCTGGGTGTCTGCAGCTGCATACTTTGTTTTTATTTTCAAGTTTCGACCCTCATAAATGAGTATGCTTGGTAGATTTAAGAGTTAATTTCACGCACCGTGCAAAATCAAAGCAAGCTCTGCCGTGCTTCAATGTACCCTATCTGCGCACTCAGTGTTTCTCTTCCGGGTTCTTTTTATTGGACCGAATCGTAGGTGTGATGCGTAGAAGTGTTAAATCCCTGTTGAAGCGTGGGAGACTTTAGACCTTGCAGATCTCCTCGGTGTGGAGAGAACAAAGCAACCTGCTCTAGCAGAAAATCCTCGTCTGGCGCATCAATGTCTTCATCATCTTTCAGGCATGCAAACGCAGCGACGCTAACTAGGGATAGAGGTATGCCAAACCCCGTGACGGTCCACATCGCGCGAGCGCCATAGTTTTCGTAGAAGTATCCACCGATCAGCGTGCCTGAAGCTCGTGCCAAACCATTTTGAACGGCGCTAAGGACCCCCATGACGGTTCCCTTACAACCGCGAGGTGCAGCTGAAAACACATACTGCGTGCAAGCAGCCCACGTTAATCCGAACGTGATGCCATGCAAGAACTCGAACGGAATTGCACCCCATGCATTCGTCATCAGAGCGTAATATGAAATTCGTAAAATGTAGCCCACAATAGCCACCAGCAACACATTCACTGTGCCAATTTTCTTGACGATTTTATCAGCGAAGAAAAATGCAGGCAGCTCCGACGATGTTTCACACATGATAGCTACACCGATAATATGGGGATCGTCGCCCGCAAGGTTGTACAGATTGAGCTGAAGAAAACTTGAGAATACCCCATGCATATTTCCCATTATGAAAACAACACCGAGTAGCACCAGCACGTCCAAATGTTTGGAAATCAGGCGTGCCGTCTTCAAAAATGATGGGGCAGCATCTGAGACGTCTTGTTCTCCTTCGTCTGTCGTCTCCAGCGCAGTGTACTCCTCGTACTTGACAGAAGGGATTCGATGCAGCACTAGCAGCGTTGAAAATCCCACAATCAGACACAAATTAAATGACCAAAAGATCCCTCCCAACGCCACCGCGATACCAGTCAAGTAAGTTCCGATGCCCCACCCTACCGCTCCAAATAGTCTCTGTCGTCCATATTCCCCTCCTTCTCGTGCTAATAAATCGAGCACCGCGTGATCCAGCAATGAACCAGCGGGGCCACTCTGGATCTGACTGATAAGTACCATGACTGCAGTCCAGCTAAGTGACCAGTAAAAATACCGGGTTGAGAACTGGAGTAACGTGCCGCTGACGATGCAGAACACATGGATGAACCGCTGGTTCCGAATTCGATCGGCGACGCCGCCCCAGAAAGGTGGGCCCAAGATGGCAGCGATGCTGGGCAGCGTTTGTAGTAAACCAATCTGCATCTTTGAGAACCCGGCGGTGTGCTGGTAGTAGACCGGCAGGTAGTTGGCGGTCGTTGAGCCCCACGCCGAGTTTAGTGCGAACATGACCTTGGGCTCCCATAGCAGGGAGTGACACCCCCCAGATTGTTTAGGTTGGTTGGCTTTCGGTGTCTCCATCTTATTGATCTGCTAGAAGTGCTAGGTGTCAAAGCGAGGAGTCGCTGTGCTACTGTACAGTACTGGCAACTGTTTATCGCGGGTGATCATTTATTAAAAGGCAAAATATTGTTTGATAGAAAGTACGCGGCCCACATAATATCAAAATCAGTCCAGAATACGACAAGAAGTCATCTTTGTCAGGCACTAGGGTGAGACCCTGCTCCTCGGCCGTTGCAAACCTAAATTAGTTTTTTTGTTAGAAAATGAAGCACAAGGGTTAGTGGTGGCGTGTCTTATTACATGTATTATAATAGATGACAGGGTTGGCCACTGGGCGCCGCCCAAAACTGCCGTAAGGGCCGATATGTCAAGGCCTTCAATAGATGATATCCCTGGCATACTCCCCCCGCTGCAACTTTATTGAGACCGCATTTACGTGGTGAGAAGTAAATTCGGTCTCTATAAAGTTGCGGAGTGATACCAGCTGTGCCCTAACTTCCGGCAGCTACACAAGTTATAACTTAGATTTTGTAAGGATAGGTAGGTAGGTAGGTACCTTGGGCCCATCACCGTCCCTTCAGCTCCCTCGCATTATCTTTGACATTCATCAGAAATCATCGACATTTTGTACCTGTGCACTTTAATAGCTAGAGCTACATTTAGAGATTGCAAATGACACCCCCTTAAGCCAGCGTCCACTTTTATTCACTATGTATGTATTTAGACGTTAAGAGATTTAATAAGTAAGCAGTTAATATACATCTACATCGCACTTTGAAAGTGCTTGAAAATATCATCGAGGGTGCCAAATCGTATCAAATATTAACTAAGACAGAGAATACACCATGCTGAATATCAGCCAAAACGGGAGATCGAGAAGTCGCGTTTTTTTGATCATTTATCACGCCATATTAAATGATGGAGCATCTGTTAAGCTGTACCAAAACTGACATGAAAATAAATTTGTACTACGTAGTAGTATGCTAAACTTTTTACTACATCCTTTTTTTTTTGTCTGCAGCAAAAGCTGTCACTTTGGTCCGCCCCTATCATAAGCTTTGCTATTGTTCTTAAAAGTTTCTAAAACAACTCCCTCTTAATCTTGCGGAGGTAATTCGCAGTGGCCTGTGGTGGCGCTAGGCATGTTATTATAAGGGATATTGAATTTAGTGATCAGGACATGCACTCACAAGTCTGCCACCTTTTCCTGCTTAATACCTGACCAACCGATCAACTTCGTTACGAGGCCGTGAGTCCATTTCTTGTCAGGTGCTTATTGCTCAGACCACTCCAGCGGTTGTACACTAGATCTTGCTGCATCGTGCAAAATGAACCGTTGATAAATGAGATTCCTGACCACTCACCTTCCCCACACCATTCCCCCTTTCCAAACCGATTCTATAAAACAATCAGGATATTTGTTTATACCAGTACTGAAATTGACAGCTTTAACTGAACGAAGTACCGTAGGTCATTGGTGCGTGTTGAGCGAGCAACATGTCGGGGCTGACCACGAAAGACGCTGCACCAAGTAACAAAATTAATTGGCTAAAGGGCTTACCTGATGGAGACAAAGACGCGTCGGACGCCACACCTCAGCGGAAGGAGCAGGAGTCCTTAAACGCTGACAGGAAACTCAAGAAGAAGGTGCACAAAGCTAGAAGTATTACTAGAGGTGACACCGTAAAGCAGGCGCGACAAGAAAGTGACAAGAATAGGTATCGTCAGGAACATGACGGGGCGGACCGAGACGATGTATTGGGAGAACGTTCGACTGGCAGCGTAGTGAGTCAGCAGCACGACTCGCTGAACAAAGAGCTCCGTGCTCAGATCCACACGACGTCGTTGTCGCGCACAGAGACTAAAAGAGGAGAAAAGAGGAATCGAAGGTATTTGGAGGGGAAGGCTGTTAAGAAACAGCAGCGTAAACGACTGCATGCCAATTTGGAGATGGTGGGGGTTGCTTCGGCAAAAGAGAAGGCCGTGGGGCTGCAACTGACGGCTTCGATTGACACAGCGAAAGCTAAGGCAGCAGCTTTGCGTCAGCGGCGAATGAGGAAGCTTCAAGCCCGTCGAAAAGCAACAGGTGAATACGAGCGACTAGCAGCCGTCAAGTTAAAGCGACTTGAATCATCCAAGGCAACAAGGCTAAAGAGAAATCAACGTGAACAGATGCGCAAGGCGCAGAAAGCTCCTGCAGCTGCAGCCACAGATGAAGAAGGCAGCATACACCCCCGTTCGGCACCGCTATTTACCAAGGAACCAAAGGAACAAAAAAAAATGCTTGAACGCCAGAGTGATGCTGCCAAGAAGCATCTAGGTGGATTGAAATTGACATCAATATCAGCTTTGAAGCACCCTCAGACTGCCAGCTCGGAAAAGAAGAGGCAAAAGCGAAAGTCAGATTTACTTCGCACCTTTGAACACAGAGCAGGTGGACTGAGGCAAAAACGGCTGAAGCTGGAATTTGTGAAAAATAATGCTAAAAGTGTGGCTGGAGGAGGAATAACAATCGTGAAGTCTCCCAACAAAAGGAGGCAAAGCTCACTTGCTTATGAAAAGCGCTCGGAAGATGTGTCCGTTGTTGAGGATCCTCACGAGCATGAAGCTCGACCCTCTGGTGACGTCAAAACTGCGGAAGGACCTGAAAGACAGGAGAAGCCGAAACAAAATGAAGAGCTGTGCCGTCGCAAAAATATACGCGAGGAGGTTAAAGAGGAGGGACAAGTTGATTCCCCTGATCTTCGGAAGAGTTTGTCTGCCGATGTGAATCCTCAAGGTGGGAGCGAAAAGACATCCAGACACAAGATGAACGACATGGCCCTGGATATGGCACCAATTCCAAGAAAACATATAAAAGATGCCGCAAGTGCTACATCGTTTGTGATCCCCAAGCGACTTCTTATTAACACTGACGGGCATGTTAAGGCTCGTGGGGAAAGTTCTCATCATGACCCCAAGCTTGTAGGCGCCAAAATTCCCGCAGTAAACCCAGTTTCACCCCTTAAGTCATGCCCGCGGCTTTCAAGTCGAGACCCCATTCGCTCGCAGGGGAAGCGAACAAAGGCTCCTGTACCCATGAAAAACTCAATGTTGTCTACACACGACATAGCACTCATGCGACTGGCGCGAAAGCGTAACTCGGTCTTCCTAGCAGCCACAGAGCTGGCTCAGCCATCACTTGTTGATATCAAAGTTTCAGCCGCACGCTTGACTGGGTACGACATTTTTGATGCTGATGGAAAAGTTCTGCTCGATTTGGTTCCACGGTGGAGCTGTGCTACCAAGCATGAAATGATTGCGAACATGGAATTATTTACCACCTCATTTTCTGGTGTCTCGCTGGCTGCTCCGAAGGCCAAAGAGACTAATAGTAGGACCGCAGAAGTGAGTGCTCTTGTGGGGGGTCGAATGATGAACTGTTACGAGGAGCTGCGCTTCCAACGACCGGAAGACAGAGAATTTTACCAAAGACACATGTATGGCGCAGCATTTGTACCACAGTATCTACGCGGTCGGGCAACACTTATTGCTCGATGTGTATGCTTTGAGCGAAAGTCCACAGGCATCAGATTTAACCAGGACCGTGATCGTGAGGAATTCGCAGCATCACTGAGTAGACGCTACACGTTTAAGAAGTCGACCCCACGCTGTGAAATTCGACGAGAACACTGGCAAAAAATGATGCGAAATCAACCGAGCGTCGTGTACTTACACTACAACAATATCGAGGATGCTGAGCGCGCTTCGCACATTTTTCGCGATGACGCTGGAAATGCTATTGAGCTGAAACCTGATCACAAGTCGTGTGCGGGGAGTGGCCGTGGCTTTATTTCAGCCAGTGGAAACGGATATCGCATGCCGAGACGGTCATGCTCAAGTGAACGAAGCCCACCAAAGTCATTCATGCAGTCAACAAAAGGTGGTAGCGTACTCAACAATCCACATTGGCAACTAGATCACTACGAGGCAACAAATCGGTACTCGGGATATGGCCGGCCATCCTCTCCGCAGCGAAATGGAATAGACGGCCGGTACAATCCGTCGGTAAGCGGGTATAGTTTAAGATCAAGAAGTAGGTCACGCTCGAGGCCGAAGCTGTTTTCTGATCAGCAGCACGACTCGGTTGGGAAGGGAAATGGTGATGAGATCGATAACGTTGCAGTAGCGGTTGGAACCAGCATATCACTATCGCCGAAGAACCCTCTAGATGAGCTACCCCCGTGTACTCGTAAGCATCTTACAATTGCCAAGGGAGGCGAAAGTTTAGACCCCCAGGACCCCAACGGAACCAGCAAGGGAAATCTGGACGAAGATACGGACGTAGCTATGGCGGAGCGGTCTGCATCTCCGCGTACAACATCTAAAGGCCCCTGTAAGCAGGATTTAGAAAGTGGTGAAGAAGAGCAAGAAGAAGGAGAAATTGAAACCAGCATCGAGCTTGTGCCGACAGCAACCGATCCAATTAATGGCACAAAAAGAAGGCGGTGCAGTCGATCTCCTCGTAAAAGTTGGAAACAACGAAATGCCATACAGTCTCGCCAGCGACAAGAGGATTGTCGTGGACGTTCATTCGAGCAAAACTGTACGGACAGGCGACGGTCAAGATCAAGATCGTGGCCACGACAAGAAGGTTTTGCTCCGTGGGAAAGGGACAGGGGTGATGATAGCTGGTATGTCAAGGAACGCCGCTATCGTGATTACGGTCGTGCGGAAGACTATGATAACAGCGAGTACCGGTATGGGCGAACGATGCATTCGGGCGAACACGGTCGATACAGTGGACGCAATTATCGCGGTGGGGAATACAACAACCACACGGACTACGCGTGTATGAGACCATACTAAATGGCGTGGGCCGGCGGGTACATGTACACCGTTCACGCTAATTAGTCGTAGTTCGCAATTAGTCGTGGATTTGCACTTTAGTGACATCACAAATTCGGGATATTTGACAAATATGATCAAATCTAAAGGAAATACCGGTTCTGAGCAGGTCTCATCGACTCGGTTTAAACTTAAGACCGGTGTTTTTAGCAAAAAGGACAGCTAAATCTGCTCAAAGCAATAACGTTATCTCGATCCGCACTTAAGCGTTTTGTCTGCCGTTACAATCATCGTCTTCTCCCCCCCCATCGTATAAATAAAACATCCGAGCGACGACCGGAGTTGTCGTAGTCGTAGTCGTAGTCAAACGATGTTCAAGGTGTATGCGGAACGGGCGGAGTTGTTGCTGGAGGACTGCCGTGCGGGTGCGGGGCCTTGGCTGCGCCTGGCTGCAAACACGTCGACTGGCGGGGTCGACATCGAGCAGCTAGCGGGCAGCGCGGCGCAGCCCACTGAGGACGCGGCCACCGTACCTATCCATGCGGTCTACGGCGTGTACACGCTGCTGAGCGGGCCGTACCTTGCGGTGGTGACGGACTCGCGCGTGGTGGGATCGGGTCCGAATAGTGAGAAAATCTACTGCATTCTGGAGGTGACGCTACTATCCGTGAGCGCAGCAGCCCACCAGAGCTTCTTCAAACACGCCAGTACGCGTGAGAAGCAGGATGAGCGTGAATACTGCCGCATGCTCACGTCGGCACTGGCTTCGCGCACCTTTTACTTCAGTTACGACTTGGATCTGACGTTGTCGGCCCAAAAACGAGCGTCGGCCTCGTCCTCGTTGGCAGCACAGCGCCAGTCACCACTATACGCACGTTCGGAGGAGGATTTCTTCTGGAACAAGCCAGTCCTGAGCAAGTTTATTGAGCTGGAGCTAGGTGACTGGATCGTGCCTGTTATCTCGGGCTTCGTCAAGGTCATCAAGAAATGCGACGTCAACGGCCAGCGCTGCGATATCCTCTTCTTCACCAGAAGGAGCTGGCGACGAGTGGGCACTCGCTTCAACGTGCGAGGTGTCGACAAAGACGGATGTGTTGCTAACTTTGCGGAGACGGAAATGCTGCTGGTCAAACCGTCGAGGGCCGTGTGCTCGTACGTGCAGGTGAGAGGCGGAATCCCGCTATATTGGGATCAGGTGGTCACGCTTAAATACATGCCCCGCACGCGCTACGCCTTCTCAGGCCACGAAAGTGTTGTGGACTGGAATGAATTGGCCTTCCGCGCTCACATGGACAACCTCATCCAACGCTACGGACACATCACGTGCGTGAACCTCATTGACAAGGCTGGCAAGAGCGCGACTGTGCGCGATCAGGCTCAGCTCGGCTCTGCGTTCGGCAAATACGTCAAGAAGTACAATCAACTATCGAAATCTGGTGATGGAACGAGTTCCATCGCATCATCAGTGGCGTCGCCCATGCCAGCGTCCCCTGCGCTTCACGCCGTGTCACCTCGTCAACACAAGAGCTTGTCGGTCTCCCTGCCCGCTGCACCTGGATCCAGCACGAGTAACGGATTTGGACCGTCAAGTGCAACAGGATCTGCAGCGGGGTCTCCAACCGCATCTATTGCCAGCAACAGCGACAAGGGATCTGGACCATCAGCTACGCTTCCACTGCAGTCGTCGATGTCGCTTCCCGTGCGAGAGCATCCTCAGCTGAGTATCGCGGTACCGTCGGCACCCACGTCGATTTCGCAGCTCTTTGCTGAGCCTGTTGCTTATGTATGGTTCGACTTTCATCACGAATGCCGCAAGATGGCGTGGCACAACCTGTCCAAGCTCATGTCGGAGGTGGAGGAACAGTTTACGCAGTATGGATGGTTTGAGTGTGATGGCGAAGGACGGCTTCTGTCGCGTCAGCGTGGCGTCTTTCGTGTTAACTGCATGGACAACTTAGACCGCACGAACGTGGTAATGAGCCTCTTTGCTCGGCGTACGGTACTCATGGCGATGCAGCTCTACCCGCTCAATTCCTCTGGAAATGACAATAGCAATAGTGTGCTGGACTCGCCCTACCACAGTTTCGAGGTGGTCTTTAAGAATGCGTGGGCTGATAACGCGGACTATGTAAGCAGGATGTACGCAGGCACAGGCGCGCTCAAGACCGACTTCACGCGCACAGGGCGACGAACAATCGCAGGTGCCCTTCAAGACGGCGTTAATTCGGTCACTCGCTATTATCTCAATAACTTCTCGGACGGCATTCGCCAGGACTCGTTCGATCTGCTCGTCGGGAACTTCGCACCGGATAAGCGGGACGAATCCCCATTCACTTTTCAGCAGCAGCACAGTCTGCTGAATATGATGCTAGAGGCCACACTCGCTACACTTGCGGTTATCAGTGTGTCTCTTAGCATGCGCCCGGACCTTCCAGTCGTGACACGTGTGCGCGACGGCGTCATCGCAACGTTCGCCCTCTTTACTATAATGGGATACCTCATCATCAAAAAGGGTAAATTCCGTTCCATCGGGCGCCGATACGTATGCAAGCCCGCTTTCAGCTCCAGTGGTTATATCCGTCGGAAGACGGCGTAGGAAAAGAACTAATCATCGGCTCCAAACATGCATGCGCGATACCACAAGATAAAGTTCAATCGAACAAGAAATTACTACAGTACTTCATAGTACTACAGTATGACTTTGTTGAAAGCGCCCTTCGCTACACTGCGCGCCAAAAGCTCAACAGCTAGACAAGGAAGGTTCGCGATGTCTCAATTGTACCCAGCGCGCTAAATTAACCAAAATAGCGTTGACGCAGGCATGTGTTTTCTCCGTTTGTCCAGGAATTAGTTACAAGCTGATGGCCACTTTGGGGCGTGGTCCAGTCGTTGAGTTGCTGCTTCTCGTGACGGTGGCTCCGTTAAGCTCTGCAATAATGTCGTTCCTCTCTTGCTGCAGCGCCGACTTTCGAGCTATCTTCTGTTTCTGCTGTGACGTGAGCGAGTTAATTTCCGCGTCTACCAGCTTGGCGATGTCCTTGAGCTGCTTGTTGGTCTTCGTCAAATGGCGCTTGAGTTGCTTCTGACGGTCTCCATTTGTATCCGCCAATACCCTCGTATTCTCAACTGACAGTCGACATTCTTGCTCCTGACGAGAAGCTGGGTCCCTAGTGCGTGGTCGCTCCTTGGGAATCTCCTTCTTCTGCTCCAGTGACAGCTTGTCTATCTGAAGCTCATCAACTACAGAATCGCCGCCTAAGTTCGCTTTGGACTCGCGTTTCACCTCCTGTTCACGTCGCTACGGTGTACCAGATAAATCAGTTGGAATGCTTAGATTTTGTAATAATGATTGACAGGGCGATCTCATACTCGCTGAGCGACGGTCTTGTATTTGGGCACCTCGTCTTGCGGCACGTAGCCCTGACGGATACGGATGGATTTGCGTGTGGAACCGTCCGCGCGGCGCGATGCCGGCACCACCACCACCCCATCGGCGGTGCGCACAGCTCCAAGCGGCAATCGCTCATTCTTTGTCGAGGTCATTGCTTGTTTTAATCAAAGTCACGAATTGGTGGAAAGTGAAAATCACTCCATTTTTACAATAAGAAATTTGACTCCCACGAAAACAGTAAGTAAAGATGCATGGCCAATGCATGATTTGGTGGACACTACAGTTGGACGATGTTGTTTCTGTCGATAATTTCGCGTACTCGGTTATCTTGTTGCCCCCACGCGGCACGGGACATCACGGCAGAAGCCTCGGTCGTCACTGTTATGCTGCCTTCTTTTGGCGAGGATAACGGCACCGACCAGGCCCGCGACCCCCAGCACAACGCACACGTAGACGAGTGGTCTTTCGGTACTAGTATTGCTGTTGGTGAGGTTACTAGTGATTCCGTCCCTATCGTCGACCTGGTTGCTGCTTGTCGTTTGGTCGATTGTTGAAGCTGTCTTTCTGCCATAAGATGGGGACAGCAACAAAATATCTTCTACTTGGGCTGCGGATGTGGAGAGCTCTAGTGCGGTGCTTTGTATTTCGGCTCGCTCTTTAAATGGTGCGACAGTGCCTGCGGAGTAGTAGTTGGAGACGCCAATAGTATCGGCAGTTGATTCACTGGCATTCTCGGAAGAAGAAGACAATTCATGTAGTGACAATGCGGAAGCTTCACTATCAAAGTCTGAGCGCGAAGATGTGAATGAACCAGCATCTCGAGCAGTGCCATTCTCGTCATTTGAGGCGCTTCCGGCGGTGCTTGCCTTCTGATTAGGAATAGCTTCGTCGATGTTGTGCAAATTATGGATGGATCCAGGTGATGCAGTTGATGATCTGGCGGCGTTGAAGTTTGGATAAAATAGTGGAGGCGATGATGAATGTGAAAAAACAGCAACTTCTGCCGAACCGATGATGGATTCAAGCTTGGAGGCAGGCACATGTGGGGAATGATCGGTCTTTGTGGGGAGGAATTCATCCTGAATGGCCTCGCCAATGGTGGCCTCGTGACTTGAGGAACCGCTGTCTGAACTAGCGCCTTGCCGATATACTGCAGTACGACGTGATGGACCTGCCGTGCTGACGGTGGAGTGACCTAGCAATGCATCGATTGTCGAACTACCTGCGCCTGTCGAAGGCAAACTGGTGACTTCTCGAGCTTAAGTGGCGACTAGCAGGAACAGTGCAATGGCCACGGAAAGCGATTGCTTGTCCATTTCGACGAAAATGTGTTGTGAGGGCCACGGCAGGTGGGTTGGAAATGCATGTGAACGGCTGACTTAACTTTTATTTCAGATAAATAATAATACTTTCTCAACCTGGTCAATCCACACAAAGGTGGAAGACTTATGCGGGGTGAAACCTTAAAAGTTCAGTCAGGCAACTTCATTATTGACTTAGATGTCCGGTGTTCAGTTAAGTCGCTTCAACATTGAGGGGGGAGAAGTACAGCATCAGCTGCTACTGTGGAATTTGTGCATAGCAAACTACATGTAGTACAGTGCGAAGTACCTGGACTGATGCTGTTGTAGTCGATTGAACTGCTTTGCTTACAAAATGATAATGTTGCGGCTATTTAAGCGGATCTGGGCGTCTACGGTGGACAGAGGCGTTGAACGGGTGGGAGACAAAATACTTGCAGGCTGCCCTGTCAAGGCCCTCGACGTTCGAGAGGCTCCTGTTTCGTCCCGGCGGCCCCGTCTCCGCTTCGTTCGATACCCAAAGATGACCCCGATTAAACCAACGATCCCCAGTGTAATCGACGCATAAAAGAATGGGCTTTCTAACACGGCGGCTGTAGGGGACACGATTGTGTTGCTAGAGCTTCCGTCTGCACTGCCTCTGAATTGTAGTGGCGTAGAATTAAAAGAAGACACATTCTTTTCGTTTATGTTGATAGTTGTCCATGGTAGACCAGAACACTTGACATCATCTTGCGGGTTTTCTTCGGCAGGAGTCTTTATCATTTCCTTTGAGCTTCCATTAGTTGGACTAGTTGTCGCTGTTGGGAAGACCGATAAGCTCGGTTCTCCATTTGATGAGGTCCACCTCGGTAGAACCGGCCAAGATGGCCCGCTACATGAGCCAACTCGAGTAACCATCGTCGCTGCGATCGGTGATGAAGACAACATCGATGATCGCGGGTATGACGGAATCTGCTCACTGGTAAGGCCATCTGAAGCTTCATTCTGTTCTTGATCATTTGGTTCAAAATCCGACCAGAACTTGTTACGGTTGTTGTCGATATCGTTGAAACTATCTCCCTTCTTTTTCTTCTCGTTAACGCTCTCGTGACTGCTCTTACTAAAATCTTCATCGTTAAAGCTCCCAAAAGTATACTTGTCTGCAGACTCGAAATACTCGAGCTCCCCGAAAAAAATATACCCACCAGAAGTTGTAGATGGTGCCACTCCAACATCGATATTGCCAAGTGAGCTCTCGCTACTCTTTCTACAATCCACACACCTCCACTGAACGAGAGCCCGATGAGAATCCGCGTTTCCAAGCTCTTGAATAGCGCCCCGCGACAAAATCAAGTCTCCATTGATGCAATTCACTATTCGAACCACCCGCCGAGTCTCTGGCATAAACTCTCTTATATCGCCGCCGTCGCGCCACACCTCTGCGCACTGCCCCGCACACAAGCTGTCTGCAGCTTCCCCAATTCGCGCACAGCTCATAATGGCGTAGCCATCCAGGCATTCCGATAATACAATTGCAATCATATTGAAGGTCCATGCCAAAATAAGCTATTGCTACAAAAACTACAACTTAAGAAATAAATAATTGACATCAATAGTAGTGTATTGGAAAATTAACTACTTAGATGTACAGCACTGCACATTACTTTGCGTTCACGATAGCTGCTACAGTGTTTGCGTCCCAGAAACGCCGATTCATCTTCAGGAACAACACGGTTTCAAGCTGAATAGGCAGCATACGCTGGCGATGGTGGAAAAGAGTATGTTTCGCCACACTAACAAGACGCTCCACGGTGTTTGACGTCGGCGGGATGAAAAGCACACCATCAAATACCTTCTTTGCACCGCGCCGCTTTTTTCTAGTCGCCAAGACTCTGTCGGCAAAGCCCTGTGGGCGTCCGTGCCTGGTGTCCGGTGTCGTAATTGCGGGTACCGTCTCAAATGGCTGCAACATCAGCTCCTGGTCGTTCGTCAGCTCGTCCACGGCGCCTGACAGGGCTACAACGCACGCTCGCTCGAAGTCCACGTCCTTAACAATATTTTTGCGTCGGCAGCAAGATACTTTTTCACAACGGAATGCTTCTCGATGAGCGCATCAAAGATATCGCGCACATCGAGAAGCGTTACGTTGTCGTCTTGAAGCTTCATGGTGGCCAACTGGAAGTCGCCAAGCTGGCAGTAAAAAAGTAGCTGCAGACTTGCTTGGTCGTGAAGGTGTTGGCGAGAGCCATGGTGAGATCAAAAATGATAGACGAGCGCCTCAGGTTCGCGTTTTGAGCGACCGTTGCTAACAGCCATCTGGAGACCGAGCTCCGTATTTACGCAAAACAAAGCAGAAAAAACTAGATTTTACGAAAAAATAAAGTACTTTGTTGTAAATACAAAATAACTAATTGGAAAAAGTCATCCAATTTGTAAAAATCAATAATTAAGTGTAAACTATTGTATTGAAGCAGCAATACAATGATTATTTCGGAATGCCTGTAGCCATCGACATCTACAGCGTCCGAAAACGACGCTGCTCGTTCCTGGAACCCCTGCAGACCAACCACGATCTCTAAAGGGACCATTGCATTGGAGACGACGAATGAAAGTAGGACCCGCTTCCTCATCATTTCTGCCAAAAGTGATTTTGTTGTGGCGAAGTTGCGAGTGCTGCTTTTGATACTCCCGAGCCATTAGTAGCATTGGATACTTCGTCAGTGCAATCCGAGCGTTACTGCGATACAGTATCCGTCAGCGCCAGGTTCATCATTGCCACATATATCACCGAGGATACATGGCCATAACTCGATGTACTGAATCCCACCACAAGCGTTTCCAAGTCGCTGGCGTTTTGCGGTCTCCAACTGTACCCATATCGAACAGAGAGGCAGATCGAAAGCATCTGCTCTTCTCCAAACTCCGGGATCCTCACGAAATTTTTGATGGAATTTAGGTATTATTACTGTACACTGCAGGACAGAAGAAACCGGCCACCCCTCTTCACCCATTGTTAACACGCTGAAACCCCCCCCTGAGTCTTGTAGACCCTGATCCAGTTGCGAACTGTCCGTGCCGACTTAATGAAAATATAGGCAAGATGCAGTCTTGAGTACCCCAGCTTGTAGTATGTGTTGAAAGGTAAAGGTGCGTAGTAGGGAGCAGAATGGAAAGTGAGATTACGTTCTCATTTTTGTAATGACGTTCCGTCATTTATCCTTCCTATACTTACCCTCGCACGCCATCCGAGACCTCCAGCTGGTCGGCGCATCTCCTAAATCCTGGCGCCAGATTCATTGAATTTCAACACTCCTCCTCGCCGCCAGCGTTGATCTGCTGCACTCCTTAGTGCAGGCCGACGACTGTCCGCAACTCCGCTAGTCTTGGCGCCTCCAGAGCCTTCGTGAGGATGTCCGCAAGCATCTCCTCACTCTGCAGGTACTCCGGCTTCAGCACGCCGTTCTTCGTGTAGGAGCTCACGAACTTCATTCTGACGTCGATGTGTTTGGCCTTGGAGGATGATCCTTCGCCGTCGAGCTGCTTGAGCGCAGCCTGATTGTCGACACGCAACGACATCGGGCTGTTGAACGCGACGCCCGGCTCATTGAGCAACTCGCGCATCCCCAGCAACTCGGTGGCCATCACCGACGCTGCCGTAAACTCCGCCTCCATGGTGGAGAGGCTGACTCCAGTTTGCTTTCGGCAGACCCAGGACACGGGCATCCCGTCGACAGAGAGCAATCCGCCCGTGACGGACTTCCTGTCGGACTTGTCGGCAGCGAAGTCCGCGTCGCTGTACGCGACAACGTTCAGCGGCTCCTCCAACGGGCAATTGCCCTTCATGCTCAACCGCAAGGTCATCGAGCCCGCGAGATATCGCGCGATCCGCTTCCCAAGCTTCCAGTCCGACATCGTGGGGCTGTGTGTGCGGCGTGACACCTTGTGGACTGCGTACGCGATGTCGGGGCGCGTGCACCGCGCCACCCACATGAGGCTGCCCACGAGGGATTGAAACTTGCGGATCGTGATCTCGTTGTCGCCACCAGTGAGAGGCAGTAGTACGTCCGCGGTCTCGTCGACGTCGTTGAACTCCACCTCAATGGGCGTGCGCACGCCGTGCACGGACGACATACCGTGCTCGCGCAGCATCTCCTTGATCGCGAGCTCTTGGTCCAAATCATAGCCCGTCTCCTCGTCATATACCACGCGAATGCCCAGGAACTTGTTGGCGGGGCCCAAGTCCTTGATCGCGAGCATGCTGAGCTCGCTGAAGAAGGCGTCGACGGCCTTCTGCTGCGTGCCCGTGACCAGGAGGTCGTCGACATATACGCCAACCACCAGTAGGGTGCCTTCGCAGGATCTATAGTAAACGCACATGTCCGTAAGGCTCTGCGAGAAGCCGATGTCCGTTAGCGTCTGGTGAAGGAGCTGATTCCAGAGGCGTCCGGCTTGCTTGAGGCCGTACAACGTCTTCTTCAACTCCAGTACCAGCTCGTTGTCGCTGGACACGCCAAGCAAGCACCTCAGCTCCTTCGGGACCACCATTCCGCGCGGGATGCGCAGGTATATGTCGAGCTCAGGTTCCTTCACCGCCTTCACGTAGGCGTTTGGCACGTCGCCATGCTTTGCGGGGACGCGCCACTTCCTGGCGAGCACGAAGATCAGCGTTACGCTGCTCATCTCGATGACAGCAGAGAATGTCACGCTGTAGTCGATCCCGAATTGTTGTTCGTTCCCGCAGGCGACGAGGCGCGCCTTCAGTCGCTCGATGGCGCCCTCCGCGTCCACTTTGGTCTTAAAGACCCACTTGGTATTTAGCACATGGCAGCCCTCGGGCTTGCGCACGATGCGCCATACGCCGTTGCCCTCGAGCGCGTGCAGATCGTCAGCCATCGCAGCGAGCCACTTGTCCTTGTGCTTGCTGCGCATTGCCTCCTGGTACGACTTCGGGTCGTACTCGACCACGCTGTTCACGACGTTGCGCGTAGTCTCCTGTGACTGCGCGGTCTCGTTCGCCGTGACTCTGGCATTCTTGACCACGGAGCGCGTCACGTGGCGCTCGCGCGACCACGACTTCTTCTTCTTGGTCGACGTGCGCTTCTTCTTGCCCTTCACGTTTGGGGCCCCAGCCTCCAGCGCTTGAGCTCCGTTGTCCGCCGGCTCGCTGCCTTCGAGCGTCTCGCCGGCCTGAAGGTACAGCCGCTGCACCTGAAGGTTCTGCTTCTTGTCGAGCGTCTCAATGTTCTTGACGTGCTGCGTCGTGACCACCACGTGGTCCTTGGGCAAGTAGACCCGATAGCCCTTGGTCTCCTCGCCGATGCCCACAATCATAGCCGTCTGTGCGCGTTGCGCGAAGTTCTTTTTGCGTGGATCCCGGTACACAGTGCACGGCGACCCGAACATCACGATCTCGCCGAGCGGTGGTGTCTTGCCCGTCAGTTCCTTCAGCGGTGACGCACGCCCTGGGTTGGAGTTGGTCGGGGCGCGGTTCAGGATGTACGCGGCGTACTGAACCGCGTCACCCCAGAACCTCAGCGGGAGCCCGCAGGCGAAGATCATGCACCGCGCCATGTTCATGATGGTTCGGTGCATGCGCTCCGCCTTGCCGTTGCTTGACTGGTTGCGAGCCTCGCTGCGCTGCCTGGTCACGCCCGTTCGCTTGCAGAACAAGTCCACGTTCTCGTACTCGCCCCCAGAGTCGGTGCGGAGAACGTGGATCTTGCAGTTGAACGCCTTCTCGAAGTAAACGAGGAAGTGTTCGAAGAGCTTGGCCGCGGCGTCCTTGGTACGCGCCAGGAACACGCGGCAGTAGTTGGACTTGAAGTCGATGAAGTTGATCATGTAGCGGTTGCCCAACCGATCCTTGGGTGTCATCGGCCCCTTCAAGTCGGAGCAGATGACCCCACCCACCCTATCGATGGGTGAGTGTGTGCCGGTGTCCTTCTTGGACCGTCGGTTCTTCGTTTGCTTGCCCTCGGCGCACGTGAGGCAATTGACGCGCTTGCGGTCGGCTAGGTGGATGCCCGAGCTCGGGTCCTTGGCAAGCAGCTCCACCGCGTCGTAGTTGAGGTGGGCCAGACGCTTGTGAAAATCCAGCAGTGTGCCCTGCTGCACGTCCCTCGGCACCTCTGCAGACTCCGTGAGCTCCCGGCTTAAAGCAGCCATGATCACGTTCGATGGCAGCTCGCGCCTCGGCTCCACCACGGCAGGCACGACCAAGACGTTGCTCCGCATCTCGACGTCAAACGCCACGCGTCCGCCGTTCTTGGCCGCTACGACGCGTCTTCCGGCACGGTGAGTCAGCTCGAAGCCTCGCTTGTCGATCATCCCGTAGGAGATCAGGTTGTGCACCACGCCCTTCGCAAAGTAGACGTTAGTGAGCTCCACCATTTGCTCCTCACCGCACGCTGTGACGCACAGCAGCACATTGCCGCGCTTGGTGATGTGTAACGGCTCACCGTTGGGTTGCACGCACTCGTCGCTGCACTCCTCCACGTCCTCGAGGAACGACTCATCATTCACGAGGTGACGACTAGAACCACTGTCTAGGATCCACAGGTCGGTAGTGTCGCTGGTGTGCTCGCCGACGGCCAGCGTGATGTCCCCTGGCTTCTTGAGGTCTGGACACGCTGCCCGTAGATGTCCGACACGGCCACACTCGTGGCAGCTCCGTGTCTCCTTGCGCTGTTTTGGTGTGGTCCTTCACCACGTTGACCGTCTCGCGGCCCAGCGACTTCTGCTTGGTCGCGTCGGTCTCCCACGACTGCGCGAAGTGTGCGAGCTCCTCGGCGTGCTGCAGGAAATCGGTACGCGACTGGTCCACCTTGGCCATCAACACCGTACGTAGTTCTGCGGAGGCGTACTGAACGATGTTGTTCAGCACCAAGTAGTCGGCGCCGCCCCCCGTGGCCTCGGAGATGGCCACGAGGTACATGTAGTGCTCGGGCCACGATCTCTTGGTGTCCTTCGGCGCCGTGAACAGCTTCATGGCTTGGGCGGGTGTAATGTTTGTCTTGAACGCGTCCAACATCCGTTCCATGACGTACTGCAACGTGGGCAACTGGTTCCACCACGTGTCCACCTGCTTGTTGTAGTACCTCTCAACCGTACCCGACAGGTAGTGGCCGAGAAGGTCTACTTTCACGTCCTCAGACCACGCGAAGCCGCACGCCGACTGCCCGAGCGCCACCTGCCGCTCGAATCTTCTGCCCCAGTCCAGGAAGTCGGGAGCCCAGCCCGACGTACAGCTCCTTGCCGTCGAACGGGCGGATCGCAAGCTTCTTTTGACGGGCGTCCGGGTATCGGAGCGACCAGCCATGATTCTGCACAGGCGTGGCTTGTGCTTGAGCTGGTACCGGCGCCGCAGGTGGTTGCTGTGCTTCTTGATTAGCCTGGGCGGCGTGCTCCTCCGCGAAGAGCCTTTGCAGCTCAGACATGCCCGTCTCGTGGACCCCGACATCCGCGTGTCGCAGCCCGAAATACTGCGGGTGAACTGTCGGCCGGCGAGGGGCCTGCGTCTGCGGCGTGCCGCTCAATGAGTCGATGTGCATCCTCGACCCGCGTCCCAGGGCCGACGCGAAGAGGCTCGTGTCCACCATGGACTTCGGGTCTTGTTTGGGCGTCTCAAGGCGCTTCTCGAGCTTCACCTGGGACTCCTCCAGCTTGTCCAGTCGGCCGGCGACGCCGCGGAGCAGCCTCAGCAGCTCCGACGCCTCGTCCTGTTCCGTGGTCGCCGCTGCGGCGACATCCTGGTCGCCGTCTCCCCTTGCGCGGGCGTCGGCGGTGCTCTCCGCTCCATCGACGGAGGCGGCCCTTGCGCGGTCGGTCTCCGTTGGCATTTGGGCTCATAACCTGTTGAAAGGTAAAGGTGCGTAGTAGGGAGCAGAATGGAAAGTGAGATTAGTGAGTGACCGTTCCGTCATTTATCCTTCCTATACTTACCCTCGCACTGAATCCTGGCGCCAGATTCATTGAATTTCAACAGTATGCATGCTAGACCGTACTGAATGGCCCTTTAAATTCAGCACGGGGCTTCCCAATCGATAGTTTTTAACTATTTTAACTACTGTAATGGTATCGAGTCAAATGGTAGATTTTGACCACTCGCATCGCTCCTTTCTTATCGCCTTTCCCTTCGTCGTCCAATATCAGAGACCCAGAGTGCAATGAGCGAGGACGAGTTCGTGGTGCTGCTGGAGCACGCTGGAATTTTAGAGACATCAGACGAGAACGACATGGAATTCATGGAGGAGACAGTGCTTCGTGAGTGGCTGGAGCGCGACGGCGTGCAGCTTTTCACTACTCAGGTGACGGCTGCTAAGCGCGACCAGAACGACTCGGACCTTGTCGTGGACGGCAGCTCGACGGCACCGACGGCCACTGCCACTGCCACAACACTTGTCGGCGAGGCGAGAACACGAATGGCGGGTCATATTTTGGCCAGACTGTTGGAGAGGGGCTGGATTGCGCCCATTGAGTTCGATTATGATGAGGACGAGACGGAGGTGCGTCAGCCGGGGTTTCTCGCCGATTCTATGTAGTTAATTGCAAAACTGCCAATTGTTTGCAGGAGTGGAAGACCCAAGTTGTATACACCGCGGCTGCGGACAAATGAGGCATATCGCATTTACATTGAGAAGGACCCCACGGTACGGACTGCATGTTGTAGTTGCCTCGTAGTGGTCTTTTGATGCTTAGACATGGAGAAAATCTTTGGAACGATTTACCCACGCCAGGGATGTTATCGTTGGCTGGCTGGTGCTGCCCTTGCTGTAGGCGAAGCAGTTGACCGTACGGGGATTCCATCTCCGTGTCCATGAGCTCCGTACAGCTGGCTTGTCGGTAGGGCCCACGCACCCTTTCTCGACAAGCCATGAGCTTCTGGTGAACAATTCTGTTGCTGATGCGCTCGTTTGTGTATGCCAATCTAGACAGAGCAAGATGGAAGCGAAATACCCGCACCCATTCCAGTATCTGTGCGTCAATGGACAGTGATGTGATTCACCAGGAAGTCTAATGCTTAATGAATAACCTACGTGTATGTGGTGTTTGGCTGCAGGTGGTGGATAATGACATGAAGTCGCGAATACGAGAAAAGATGTGGCAAGACTGCTTCCCGACGTGCTCCGAGAGCGCCAAGCAAACGTTTTTATCTTTTACACGGCCAGAGATCATTCTGTACGCTACACTAGGACTCAACCTTATCAGCAACGGGATCAGCAGCGTACCAGCGTTCTCGCGCGAGCTCAAAAGTATGGGTGTTACCAGTGCCGACGATCGATCCATTATCGTTGGGTTTTTAGCCAAGGCTTTCCCCACTGAGTAGGGCGGAAGATTCAACCATTTTGTAACATTTTGTAACAACGTGTTGTTAGTTTTTGTTACAAATTGATCACCACCCAATGGCTACATGACTCAGGAAAAAAGCTGCAGACGACGACAGCCTCGCTGATCAACTCACGTCGACTACGAGTAGTAAATGCCAAGTGCGAAGCCGCTGGAGAATCCTGCGGACGACGGCAGATTCGTCTTCATGATCTTAAGCAGTTTACGGTACCAAAGCTTGACGTCTTCGCTGTCGATCTTGCCATCTCCGTTCGGGTCGACCTTGGCGATCATGTCCTTTTGCACTTTGCCCCATTTGATGTCGATGTAGCCGTTATAGGCAGCCGTCTGCGCTATGATGAAGACGATGCCCACCGCCATCGCTGCGGCCTTGCCAACCTGGTTGAGCGCATAGCCCGAGCAGAAGCCCAGACCGCCGGCCAGCGTAAGCTCTCCGCAGTTTGACAGCACCACATCGATGATCTTTTCCACAGGGTTGTTATTCTTCTTGGGCACACCGCCGCCCGATGGGCCCTCCTGTGTTGCATAGATGGTAGTGGTTAGATTAATGATGCGCTTCTATCAAGTCAGCAGACACTCTTACCGCAGCTGCGAGCAACATCACATCCTGGCACAGCGTCGAATCCTTGACCAACAGCGACACCGAAGCGCTCAGCACGGCACCCGCTATAACAAGCTGCGGATGCCGAGGGAGAGCACGCGCTGGCACTCGAAGTGCTAGTGCCTGGCTCTGGAGTTTCTTGCCGGTCGACATGGCTCGCATCCCGAGCTTAAGCGACTGCGGGCGGATGAGGACTGCAGTACTAATCCATTAGACCGGAGCCATACACTGGAAGCAAATTGGAGGACACATACAGAGCTGCGAGCGCATGTGGATCGACATGGTCACCTTAGAAGCCCTCTAGAACTGGTTGTAATTGTCAATTACATCTTTTGTAAGGCAATGTGCACTCCGATTTGCACCTGGAGTAAACTTGTTTTAGAATCTAGAAATAAATGCTTTACTGCGTAATTAAATACTATGCTTCAATTGATGTAGGATTTACTGAAAATACATGTAATAGAAATGATGTTGTCATATCGTCGTTGCAAAATGCCCATGTTTCTACCAATTTGTTTTTTTTTCATGTTTTAAACCATAATTGACCATGTTTGTAATATAAGATAAATTACGATTTTTAAATAACTGATTCGTGGCCACTCAACTTCCTGCCCAGCGTTGCCAGAAGCGTACCCCCCCCTCCTTCGGCCCCGCGCGCCCTCGAAGCCTTCACTTTCGCTGAACGACCTAGGACAGCTTTGCTCTGCATTCCTCCATCTTCTCAGCAGTTCGTGACCACAGGTACTCGAATTTTTCGGACCTTTCAATGCTAATAAGGCCTCTAACGTGCAATATGCGACCGTGTGTTTGAATTTGTTGCAGTTTCTGGTCCGGTCCTTTCACCGCTGTTCGTACGTCTTCTCTATCACCCATGCGTTCAGGCAGGCCTTTTGCGTATTCCACCCACGACACTTAGTTTGACAGCAGCGGCCATCTTGAGACAATTTTTTTGCCGCTGAATATTGACGGAACTCACTGGACATGCATTGTGGTGGATGGGTCTACACAGAGTGTGTGCTGCTTCGATATCATGAGCAAGCGCGCAAGCCATAACTTGCTTGCAGAGCTGGCAGATGAGATCGAAAAAAGTATTTCGAAGACTTTTAGTATCATGGCCGTGCATTTTGTTTGTAATTCTGGCGCCGGCTCTGGAAGGTACATGTACCGTAGCAGGAAGCGATTAAACGACGAAAGGATTGCTACGCCGCCGATGGGATATAATGCCTACCGTCATATGGTTACCCTGCGTACCGTCATAGAGCTCAGCGACGAACAAAAAGAAGCTAGCTGAGCAGGAGCAGTTTCTAAGTCTAAACCCGTACATGTTTTCATGACTTCACCATGCTTTGACATGAGCAGGAAAATCTCTCATTACAAAAGATAGTTTGGCGATGCATTACAGTAGTTGAGACATGTCCGACATAACTCAAGCGATCTCATTCTTCCATTTTCATACCCTACTGTAAGTATGGTTGCCGATGTCGCGCCATATCGCAACCGTTCCGACACCCTACCCCTTTCCGACATGTTTCCGACAGTTCGGAACAGCAGATAGATTCAGGTACCAAACACCACATTTACTATAAAACAAATGTCTCTAATTAAAACTAACGTTTTAAATCATATAAACTTTTATTTTAAAAAGAATGAGCTGCGGTGCAGCGAGGGATGGGTCGACGGCGCCAGTGCGTCATCCGGTTGGTGGGTGAGCTAGTGCGGAGGGCGGCGGATACGGCGGCGATGGTGGCATTGAGAGCGCGGAGCGGCATATACGGCGGCGTGCGAGCGAGTGTGAACGGGAGCGGCAGCAGGGAGGCGTGTTGGTGGCGTGTAATCGAGTGTAGAGCGGGTGGTCCTGGTGGGGATACCGGAGGACGAGACGGAGCAGGTGTTGATGCCCAACTTGTATGCACGCTCCGTGCGTGCCCTACAGAGTGATGGTGTGGTTGGAGTACTGGGCGTGGATGTTTACGGGCGCAACATGAGTCAATGAGTACGATAGTGTTTGACGGCGTGCAGGCCGACGTGGAGACGCGCGATGGTGCTAGCACGGCGAGCGTGACGAAGTTGGTTGTGTCGGCGCTGGCGTCGATTGGATCGGACGTGTCTGTAGCAGGTGTTCTCGGTGGCGTCGTTCTATGGTGATGATTTCACGAACACGGGATGCGGCGCAGCGCGTGGAGGTGGCGCATCTTTTGGCGAACTCGTGGCGGCGTCGGAACCTGGACCTACGCACGAACTTCGTGCCACGAAGGAGTTCGTGAACTAGACGGCTCCAGTGGAGACAAGGCAGGCGGCGTCGCTGGTCTTTGATGACGCTTCTGCGTTGGGTGAGCAGAGCTCGGCTAAATGTGCAGAATGTAAGCATGGTTCTCCCTAAGCGTCTCGACTACTCCAGCGTGTGAAGCGTTTTGCGAGTGGCAGCTTCCCGGTGAGATTCAGCGAAGCGAGACAAGCTGGCGGAAGAGGTGGAATAGGAAACGCGCAGTGCCATTTCTGAGGCCGTGGCGGTGTAGACGAACATGACGCTGGTGGGCGTGGCCATCGTAGCGGCGACCGAGGCCATGAAGGCGGTGTTCGAGACTGTGGAAGATGCCGAGGTGAAGGCAGTGGAGGTGGACTGCCAAGTAAATATACAAGAAATACCCGGCGCAGGCTTGTTGCCCGTACTGGTGCGTTGGTCATACACATCACGTTGGTTAGCGTGGCCTTCTTCTGCTGCTTGGTGACTGGTGGTCCTGACCACGCAACAAGACTGCGTCACACCCAGGCCTCTAGAATCACAATGAGAGGTTAGCAAATACGCTATTAAAAAAAAATACAGTACATGTACATGTGTATCTAAGCTTACTTCTGTTTCAATAGTTTTTGTCGAGGCATGTTATTTTAACACTTTCCTAAACACGTACTTTAATACTTGCTCCTTCGAAGTAGGAATCCTACTGGAGGACCTTGTTGTCGGAATGACAAGAATATTTAAAAAATACTTTTTATACTGAGTATTCGTATCCAGCCATTAATATTTTGGCTGGGCTTCCGACAAATATTTGTCGGAAGCTGTCGGAATAAGAGACCTACCCACATGGGATGCCATTGGCCAAAAGATGAAAATGAAGATATTCAATTGGCGTAAATTTGACAACCCCTAACCTGATCACAATCCTACCTAACTATCTGTCGGAAAGACGTGTAACATAATCAGCATAACTTTCACGCTCCTTGTAATTTAGTTTTAGAATCATGGCAAAACATAGAGATACATGATACAAGTCCATGATTTGGTCACCTAACCCTTTTAGAAAACATGGGCTGTAGCAACCGTCTTTTGAAAATGGGAGATTACCAAATCCTGGTACTATTCAATAAGGCATCACCAAATCATGGTCACATTTGCCAGAACCTGGTCCGTCGTTCGAATGAACCGCCAAAGACACGCCGAACCTATGATCATGATTTTAGTTATGATATTGGATAGTGAAAAAATGAAGCCGCGCCAGTCGTAAGTTACAGAAGGCAATGATGACCGCCGAGTGCAGCCAGCTTGGAGGGGAATAAGGAGGCGGATGCCTCGCTTCCACGCCCCACAAGGGCGAGCACGAAGCAGTCGAGCTTCTAATCGTATATATCTGTTAGAATGCACTTTAATTGGTCAAATATGTAGCTAATAGAAAAGGTTCAAACATCCTACTTCTTAAGGAAACTTAATAAGTAAACACATTGCCGAGGGATGTTAATGGCGAGGAGGACGCGTGGCGCGCCCGCTTTAAAAGACCTCCTCACTTTGAAACTGACGGCCTATTATATAGAGCTTAATATTTCAGATACGTACGGAGACTAAGGCCCATGGTTAAAGGACACAACAGGAGTGCCCAGGTCCTGGGACTGGAAAAGTTCCATGGGGAGGACTACACCATGTGGCGAGACAAGGTGCTAACGCACATAGAGACGCTGGATGAGAAATACCAGCGAGGGCTGTTGGAAAAGGACCAGCCTGAGGCTACGGTTGTCATGATGGACTTCCTTGAGGGTACGCCTGAGAAACCCATCATTTCGGTGGAGGGAAATATTTCTCAAGAGGAGGCGAAGGCCAAGCCACCAACACTGGACTAGGGCTCTGTCCGAGCTGTTGAACTTATTCAACCAAGCGTTGCCTAACGTTTTCTTGAGTGGGCTGCCGGATCAAGTGTCCAGAATGAATCCCTGTGACATATGGAAGGAGCTCGAGCAAAAGTACGGGCTCGGGGATGCAGGAGGCGTAATCGAGCTGCGCCGCCAGTGGGAGCGTCTTCTCGCAGCGAACTGGACCAATCTGGGGGCCCTATTCGCCCAGTTAAAGAAGCTGCGTAACAACATTAACAGGAAGATGAGGGGTCTGGTTGGCAAGGACATGGTGACCGAGACCTGGCTGTGCATGGAAGTGTTGGCGCTACTACCAAGCGAGTTTTGGGGAGGCACAATCATCATGACTGAAGAGTGGTTTTCTATTGAAAACGTGGAGACGAGTCTTCGCCGCGTTTTCGGTGATCGATCGAGGAAGGAAGCCACGATGCTGACTGATAAGAGACGCCCAGTGACTGTCAATGCGGCAAGAAAGTTTATGGGGAAGAAAAGGATCCAAGGACAATCCTCTGAAATGGCAGTAAGCGAGTGTTATTACTGCTTTGAAGATGGCCACTGGAAGAAGGCCTGCCCAGTGTTGGCGGCTGACCGCAACCCGAAAAGGGCTGGAGGCAAGCAGCTTCGCTCAAACATACGGGCGGCTTCTGTCACCGAAACAAAGCGAGCGATGACGGTCAAGAAGGGGGGCAAGTCGACTACCAAGAGGGTGAAGGTGAACCAAGACGAAGAAAGGACCCCAGCTCAAGCTGCCAAGTCGACCTCAATTTGAACAAGGCAACTGAGGATGCCGACGAACTTGAGTACAAGGGGAGTGTTCCAGCGAGTGAAGGAAGCGAAGATGAGGCACCGATGCACTCAATGGAGATTGATGATGAGGTACGGAGAAGATACCCTGAGTATCTTTCTAAATTGAGGGAGTTGAACCTGACTGATGATCTATGGGTGGTTGATACAGGAGCTGGACACGCTATAAGTTCGGATAGAAGGTGGTTCAGCCAGCTTGGCAAAGGACGGACTCATATCTTTGAATATGGAAACGGAGGCACCTCGTCAACCAAGCTCCAAGGGACAGTGAGATTTAGTATTCTCAAACCCAGAGGGTACTATAGTGATATCTCAATACAAAATGTTGCCTTTGATAAAGAGTGCGGTAGTAACTTGCTTAGTGCAGATTATCTTGCCACACA